GACAGCTTGAGGCTCTGCCCCGCCCCCCCCCAATGGTTGAAAACAAATTTTGCGACTAGGAGTCCAATCAGTCAGAATGTAATGCATGGCTATTGAAATGCAAAAAAGACAAGTAAAGTAAAAACATATTAGCAACCCCTCTAGCTGGAAGAGGGAGCCTCATACAGCCAAAGATAAGGATGATTGAGAATATCTGTGGTTAGCATATAATGTGTGACCCAGCAAGCTTACATGGGTAACCCCCAAACTGAGCGCAAAATAGGTTAGTACCAATACCAATGGCTAAAAAGATTGCCATTCCTCAAGAGGAGTAGTGTTTATTAGGTCATTAAGTAATAAATATCTAGTTTCCTTAAGTACTACATTTCACAGTCATTATCTTTGACATTTCACTTTGACACTTCATGTTTTTTGTTTGTTTTTTACTGTGAAGGTACCTCATTCTTTCAAATGCACATTTTGGCTTGTGATTCTCTTTCCAAAAATAATTTTTTAAGAGTAGTATTTGTGAAACCATGGACAAATCAAAAATCTGTGTTATTTTTGAACATGAGTTCCATTGTGGAAGTAGCGCAACCAAGTGTTTGGGAAGGATATGGCTAATGAATGCACAGTACGTCGATGGCTCGAAATGTTCTGTTCTGGTGATTTCAATCTGGGAAATGAGCTACAGAGACAACTGGAGTCCAAGGTAGATTATGATGAGCTGAAAGCTTTAGTGGAAGCAAGTCTGTAGTCCATCTAAACCTATCGATGAATTAGCAACAAGGTTTGATGTTACTATTCCAACAGTCTTGGACCGTTTGAAGCAAATCAGCAAGGTAAGGAAGCTAGATAGATGGGTTCCAAAAGAATTAAATGAGCATTAAAAGAAAAATCGTCTCAAATGTTGCCTTTCTTTGCTGTTACAACGTGAGAGTGAACCATTTCTATATTGTATTGTTACATGTGATGAAAATGGATTCTTTTTGACCTTTGCCAAGGGTTCAGCACAATGGTTGGATAAAAACAAGTGCCAAACCACAGTCCAAAATCCAATATTCATCAAAAGAAGCTAATGGAGTTTGTTTGTTGGTCTAGCCACTGGTATTATCCACTACAGCTTCATGAAACCTGGTCAGTCAATTACAGCAGATGTTGACTGCCCTTGACTGCAGCCCACTGGATGACGTGGTAAAGAAGCTTGTGTTTAAGCAGCTGAGATTGGTCGAAAGAGACAGGCCAATCCTCTTGCAGGACAATGACCAACCACTTGTCCTACAAATAGCACTACTCAAACTACAGAAGCTGGACTTGAAAACTTCTGTCATCCACCATAGCCACCAGACCTCACACCAACTGACCACCACTTGTTCCAGGCTTTGGACCTCTTCTTGCAAGGAAAAATATTAAATTCTCAACAAGTTGTGGTAAATATCTTTCATGATTTCATCACCACTTGCTCTCCAGGCTTCTTCACTGCTGATATAAATAAGCTACTGTTAAGATGGCAAAACTGGAAGGAGCTGAGACATGTTCTTCTTAGTAAAGCAGCACTAGAATGCAAAAGCAAGTATCCAGTGTACTCCATACTAGTATAAAACCAATATATAAACAACTACACGCCCACACTAAAGAAAAATACAAGTTTGTTCTAGTGAGAGGAAGGAGGGAAACGGGGAAGGAGAGCAAGGAGTATGTTCGGCAAGTTCCCACCTAATGTGCACAATGTAAGGATCAGCAGCACACCCCTGGGGTTCAAGTTCAAGGCCTCCACTACAGCTTGAACTTTATGTAAATGCAAACAATGTAGCCTAACCATTTGTACCTCAGATTAATCTGAATTTTTTTTAAAATGACAAAACTGTTGATAGTTTAGGTGCATACTTTGATTAATTGTACTGCTTCTCGCTTGAGATATAATAAACTGAAAGATTCAAAATTGGATGTTTCATATTTAATGGCCTAACAAATGGACACACCCCACCCCCAGCTACTAACGCACTGTAATTAGTTATGTCTGTCCCTGAGATAACTGTTTATAATGATCAGTCACTCCTACTGGTTCTTGATAATTTGGAATCAAACAGCCCCATAGTTAATGTAAACTTTATTGAATCAGTAATCTGGTTGCAGTTTTTGTTCAATCCCCTCTTATGTAACTGACACCCAAATAAGGACTATTTCCTAATATGAGTAGGCCAAGGCAGTGATAAACAAGCAGAAAGTTTTACTTTTTTATTGCAAGTATCCAAGATGTTAGCAGATGAAGAATTTAGTGAAATAGTGTTTCTTTCCGACAAACTTCTTCTGCCCTGGCATATTTGACCTATACCAGTGATCAGCAGACTTTTCCTCTAAAAGATCAAATGGTAAATATTTTTGGCCTTGTAGCCACAAATGATCTCTGTTGTATATTTTATTGCTTTTTGTTTTTTTAAACAATCCCTTAAAAATGTAAATATTCTCTGTGCCCGTCACAATGTTTTCATGCTTCTGTGGTAGTGGCTGAAGTTTGTAGACTTGATCTGAAATGAAGTTTCCAACTGGCAAAAGTTGTGTAATCGTGACTTTGAATTTATAATATAATAGATGCATAGTTGATCTCTTATTGCAGTATTGCAGGTATTTTGGCGCATTCACTAAAGATATTCTCTATAGGGTGGCACCTGTAGCTCAAAGGAGTAGGGCGCCAGCCCCATATACTGCAGGTAGTGGGTTCAAACCCAGCCCTGGCCAAAAACTGCAAAATATATATATATATATATATATATATTCTCTATAAATATGATACTTAGAAAATCCCACTATACCCAGAAAGTTGGCTATGCAGAAATTAAGTTACTTGTTTTGAAGTTCTAGTTAGTATTTATGGTAAGACATGTTTTGTTTCTAAACAGACTAATTATTAAACTTGCTTCATAATTTAATATATAATAGTGGTGGTTTATTTTTTTAAAGATTGATTTAATTAACTCACAAACTGCCTCCTTTGTATATAAGTTTGTTGCTGCTTTCTCTTGTAAATTAATGTTAAATGTACATTCTGGATTTCATTTTACAGTTACGTTACAGGGTATTGTTTTGGGTTTTGGTTTTTCTGAGACCACAGAGTCTCACTCTTGCCCTGGGTAGCGTGCTGTGGTGTCAGCCTAGCTAACAGCAACCTCAGGCTCTTGGGCTCAAGGGATCCTCTTGCCTCAGCCTCCTGAGTGGTGGGACTACAGGTGCCTGCCACAATGCCCAGCTCGTTTTTCTGTTTTTAGTAGAGACAGGGTCTTACTCTTGCTCAGGCTGGTCTTGAACTCCTGAGCTCAAGCACTCTACCTGCCTTGGCCCCCCACAGTGTATATTATAGTTCCTTCTTCTGGTTTGCTGTTTTGTTACAGTGTTTCACTGTTTCACTGTTTCTGCCCCAAATCTATCCTCCACTAGACTGGGGCAGTTGGCTTTTATGCTACTAAGCCATTCTTAGGATCACCAGGAAAAAACATCCTGAGCTTCCTAAAGAGCTAAATGGTTGCATGATATGCCGCGGGTTTTAGGGATATGCTATGCCTGCTTGCCACAGTTTTTCTAAGAAGGTAAATGAACTTTACACATTTAAATATTTGAACTGTGTTTCTTCTTTTTATAAGTTTTTTTTTTTTGGTTTTTTTTTTTTTTTTT